CTTCATGAATTATTAATGAGTTTTCTAACATTATTTACTAACAGTCAATCTAAAAAAAACTGTACCTAAAATATGTCTGGAATGTTAAACATCGTGTTCTAACCAATCGCATGCGAGAATAAATTCATTTCTAATTAACTGTCGCATGTGATTGGTCAAAACACGATGTTAACATTCCAGACATATTTTAGGTGTTCACGGTTTTCTTAGTTTGACTCTAGAGGTTTGACTCTGGTTCGACTCGGTGTAACTTCAGGACTACAGGGAGTGTTTGCCTAATCCTCCCGAACCAGTACTTCGTGTTTAAGCGTTCGAAGGTGCAACCTTTTCCCCTCAGACTATCAGTGCTCCTTATATTAAAGATTATTTAAAGGTCCACAGTGGCGGATCCAGGGGAGGGGTGCAGGGGCTGCGCACCCTTCCCTAGTTCGACTTTGTGCCCCAATACTTCGAAGGTAACCAATACAAAATGTTTTTTCCCTTTGATTCAAAGGGGTATACCCCTCCCTGGGTTAACTTTGTGCGCAGCACCCCTCCCTGAACAAATCCCTGGATCCGCCCCTGCTCCAGCTACACAGATCAGAGAGAAGTCGAAACGAACGTAGAGATCCTGAGGATTGAACCTTGGACCTCCAGCTCTGAAGGCCTTACACGCTCGTATCAGCTCCAGCAGAGTTCCTGAGGTTCCAACTGTGGACCTCCATCTCGAAGCTTCGAACGTTCCTATGGGCTRACGTTTTGAGTTTGTCCCAATTCTATTTTCTAGGTATTTGGGTTTTTTCAAAGATGTTGGTAACACAAGCAAAAGCCTCTTGTTTGAAAAGAGCGCAAACTAYTTCGACGCTCCTCTTGCACCACTCCGAGCTGCAACTCTTTTGCCGAAAGCCAAGATAATCACCATAATGATTGATCCTGTAAAACGTGCYTATTCCTGGTACCAGGTGAGTCTATTCTTTCTAATTGAATCTGTGAGCTAGCTATGTAGAGATTTAGATCAGCCCAGAGGTTATTTCAGAAATGGGAGGCAGGACCCCCATATATAAGGGCGGGGAAGCTCGGGATAATTATTTTGAATGAGCAGCCTAGCTGCAGAGCAGGCGTTCTTTTGATGGGTTTGAGAGGAAGAATCGGGGTTTTGGGGTTCCTGTTTCGACCAAGGGCCCGCGAGAAAAAAAGGGAACGTGGGGGAKGGGGAGGGGAAAGAAGGGAACGCTCCCTTCTTCCCCTTCCCGCCCCCTCCCCCTTCGCTTCTTTTTTGCTCGGTTTCAATTCTCGCTCGTTCCAAAGTTCACCCAAAACGCCGGTTTTTTCCCAAACCCACAAGAACGGCTATGAGCAGCCTTGCTCAGCCTCGTAAGATGACCGGTTGACCTCATTTCCACRGACCTTCACTGGAACACAAGAATATTCTGCACAAAGTCGAGCCTAACCCTAAGCAACAGATAACTCCAGACTAAAGTATTTTATTTTTTCCTCACAGCATATCAAAAGTCATGGCATGGCTGCTGCCATCAAGCACAGCTTTTACGATGTCATTACCAAGAGTAATGCATCTCTGAATAGAGAGTTTCGCGTACTTGGTCATCGTTGTTTGATTCCAGGCCTTTATGCTCAGCACTTGGAAAGATGGCTCATGCATTACCCTCCATCACAGGTAAGATAATATTAATGAATATT